GAAGAAGAATTTTCACACAATCATATGAGTTGAGCTGACGTTTCCATTGCAATTTGGTGAATACATCTCATATTAAATTGACTTAGACTGAGCAAGTTCCTATGCTTGCCTTATTATTTCAAGTACGTGTACAATGGGCAAAATCGTCTAAAAACGCGGAGATTCCGTTGGTTCTTCTCGTGGGCCGGTCAAGCGAAGAATGAAAGTCACACCTTTTCCGTTTTGTTTGAAGTGGATGTTCAATGCTACTAGCGGATCTTGCACAAGAACTGTGCTAACCTTGTAGGTATGAAGAGTAAATGGGTTTCGATAAATCTTCTAAGATGACATTGTTTGGAAGACTTAGATCACACTATCTTGCTCTTCATAACCCCGATTAAACTATGTGTTTTATCGAAAGTATGAAGTCCAAGAAGGTGTGGCCTTTTGTGTGGTTGCGGTCTCCTTTCGTTGTATAGAAGTTTTTTGACCTTGTTTTCGAAAATCGGTCATATTGTTTGAAAGACTTAGATCACACCATCTTGCTATTCATAACGCCGATTAAACTATGTGTTTTATCGAAAGTATGAAGATCAAGATGGTGTGACCTTTTGTGTGGTTGCAGTCTCCTTTCGTTGGATAGACGTTGTTTGACCTTGTTTTCGCAACTTGGTCTGATTGGTATGCACCCAGTCCGGAGTCCATTGTGTGCATCATCATTTCCAGAGTAGGACCGTGGGCGTGGTACATTCCCAGAAATTTCGCCGGCATAGTCGCTTGGTCTTGCCAACAACTCGTCGAAGAAACAAGTGAAGCCGATCTTTTCACCAAACGTGTGCTAAATAATTGTGGTATCTCCACTTCTGCCCTGAAGGCATGATAGAATACTACCGGAAACGCGACCAGCCCAGGGCAGAAGAGGAGATACCACAAATGTTTAGCACACGTTTTGTCAAAGGATCATCTTCATTTGTCTCTTTGACGAGTTGTTGCGTGGCGCTACGAATGGCGATACTCACTGACGATGCCGGCGAAACGTCTGGGAATGTACCACGTCCACGGTCAGACTTTTGAAATGATGATGCATACAATGGACTCCGAACTGGGTACGTTCATCTTCCAACCAACTTGACCAAGTTGCGAAAACAAGGTCAAACAAATTCTATCCAACGAAACGAAATTACAACCACACAAAAGGCCACACCATCTTGGTCTTCATACCTTCGATAAAATACATAGTTTAATCGGAGGTATGAAGAGCAAGATGGTGTGGTCTAAGTCTTCCTACCAACATGACCAAGTTGCGAAAACAAGGTTTAAACAACCTCTACGAATCTCTTCTTCATGCACTTTCATACGAAATGAAGGCCTCCCCAACAATGTGTTAAGCCTGTTCGGACCTCATGTTTCCATTGGATTCAACACAACTTTCAGACTCAAGTGGACTAAGGCTTCGAATTCACTTCACTTAGTCTCATCAGCACCCTCAATGGAACTGCAACCCGTGACATAACCATTCGCTGAACCACCAGTTCAGTCCTTTTATTTTCATTCGGATTAGGGATACCTTCTGAGGAGGTAAGAATAGGCGAACATTTTTGTCAACTCGAGACTTAATTATCTGATTTTGGAAAATTTCTAATTACCACTCCTTTTTTACCTTGAGCCGAATTGGATTAACACACTTCTTACACTTGTCCATTGCCCCTAGCAACCATCACTTCACATACCGTGTTATCCAATGCGTATCCTAGCCGCCATATACACACATACAATATATCATAAAATAAATAATAAAAATATAAATATATGCTAAATATGTAAATGCTAATATTCAAATCAGATTGCAAATTTACTCAGCCCCCCTAGAAACTGTCTTTGCAGACAGTTCACGGCGGTTCGGGACTCTGGTCTCGTGTGTTGTGTGAAAGGGTATTTCGATTCGTGGCTACCGCATCAGTGCACCTCTGCCTTACACATTCACACTCCATCCTTTGCAGCTGACCGCCGTGACCGCTCGTTCGACAGGACCACACTTGCCTCGGACAGCCTCAACCTTTTGTAGCCGCCCGTCGGCAACAACAACCACGGCCTTGACAACAAAGTCTCCATCTTCATCATTTCTTCTTCCAACACGTCGGTCCCTTGTCCCCACAGGAAAACACCTTCACACCGCCTGTCTCAAGACCGGTTTGGGGCAGACGAGTCCTGGACACTTGTCTCTGCTCGTTTGTCAGCCCGGCCCACAGCAACTCCATTTAGCAGCCGGGCGACTCCGCACACGAACAAACCACGGCCGAGATCCATGCTACAGCCAGGCTGTGTTTTTGCTGATGCAAAAGCAACTCCCACACCTTCCAGCCTTCCTTTGAGCCTGACTCACCTCGGAGCACTCAACTCTAAATTTAATTAACTTTACATTCATTTTTAGCATAAATACCAACATGGCGTAGCCTTTATTTTTGCCAGTTTCATTTCCTTGTACACACGTGACCTGACTTGGGTTTCCCATTTGGTCGTCTCGTTATGGCAACCTCGAAGAATACACCAAGTTCATAGCGCGAAGGTGGAAATTTAGAGGACAACTATCAAAGACTACTCCGGACAAATAGCTCGTCTCAAGAGCCTCCTATCGACGCTGTTATGTTTGTAAAACCGACTGAAACAACGTCTAGACACTAGTTTTTCCTACTTTCATTTTGTCTGTGCAGCGGTCAAAGCAAGCAGCACAACGTTTGCATCATTCTGCTCTCGAGATCAACGACCATACAGGAACATACACACACACATGCACGCCTAATCACATACGCTGGCTGAAGATTATGGAAGAAATCTTCTCCAGCCATCTTGAATCTTTTCCTACAAACTTTGGCATGAAAAAAGTGAAAACTGATGTCTTCGAATAGAGTTGTTTTGGGGCCAATCACTAATTCCCGAATTGGATCTTTGTCATGTCAGGTCGTTTGATAGGCCTTGAGGACTGAAAGTTGACTTTTCCCACACAAACTGATCACTAAGCCTCAGAATGCTCTTACACTTGACACTTGATCTTGCCTCAAAAAAAGTCATCCAATCCCGGCAAATAGGGGCTTGATTAATCGACACTTTCACCATAAAATGAGATTTTACTTTTGGTATAGTCCGTCTCGTGAACCATCGGCACTCGTGGCTGGAGAGTAGACTCTGGTTCGAATCCTGTCCGGTTGATGATGCGAGGCGGTGCGGCCAGTTCGAGCCTGCGATCCAGTTTAGTCGCGGCTAAGTCCAAACTGTGAGGCCAATTGATGTGATCGTGTGTGAAAACTGAACCATTTGTCCTTAAGCCACCTACAAACACAAAGTTATTATTTAAAGGAGTCTTAGTTGCTGTGTACAGATGCCGACTGGTCCCTTTTTATGAGTCTTAAGGCCAATAGCACCAAGTAATTGGCATTATTTTTGTTTCTTTGCTGGGCAGAAAATATAAAAAGAATGCGCACTATCACTTCATTGTCCCTCTGTTTTTATTTGAAGAAATCCTCGGTTTCTAAGGCCTCCTTAGTGACATTACTTTCAATTTCGAATAAGGCAATTCATGAAATGGTCTCACCAGAAACCGATTTTGTCTTTCTGTTAGTTTGCGAATCAGTTGTGTAATCTAATGAGGAAGTGTGAGATAAAAACTGTGCATAAAAAGAAATTAATACTTTCTTCAGATGTTCCTTCGTTTGGAGACTATTCGGACCCTCTTGCTGGATCAAGCTTCCACGAGGTCTTGTGCTCATGCGGTAAGGTCTATGTGGGGAGACCTCAGACTCATCCAGAAGAGACTATACCAGCACTAAAGCACTGTGGGTCTAAAAATCTGAGATTGCTGTACCAATTGCAAGTACATGACACCCAATAGACTGGCATAAAACAATATGTTTTGCTGGTTATGGAGACTTGACACCAAAGCGTGTCAAGTTCCCATCCTGCACTGTCGCGGTTCGACTCCCGCTGAGGGTGTTGATAAGACCCAAACGAGGCAAGGTCGAAACTGAAATCCACTTCCGCAGTGTATGGACCGGAAGCGGATTCGGTGGCAGCTGTTTGCTGACACA